AGTTTGTAACATGTTATTTAAATCTTTTTATGTTACGACATCATTATGTTGTTTTTAACAAAAAAATTATATTAAGAGTTTATTTGTTCTATATTTCATTTTGTTCTTGCAGTCATATATTTAATAAATTAATTAATTTATCTTATCGGCAAAAAATATTTATCACCACGTGCATTGCACGTGCACTTTACTAGTACTACTTAAAAGGGCATTTCTAAGGGGGCATTTCTGATCGAGATTGAACATAAATGATAATTTTTCTCTGATTATGTCTCGTTTGCAAAAATATTTCTGTGATTATTATAATTATAATTCGTCTTCACCAAACCTCAGAGCTCGCCTATACGTAAATCCGCCCCTGCGAAATAGGCATAAGGAAATATGATAAATAAAGAGATTTAACATATCATAAACAAAGGGTTGGAATGGAAATGATCTCTTCCGTTGCTTACTTCTGCTACTTTTATCTCGCTAGCGAATATTTCCAATAGTTGAATTAAGTGGCGATATTTCGGCAAAACTCCTTCCAACTCAGCAGCCTGAATTCATCAACGAACAATGTGATAATTAGGAAAAATGCACAACTATTTTATTAAGAATAATTAAATCAAGATATTATATTAGAACGGCAAATTTGACCCTAATATCACGGCTTTTTTTAATCATTACATTTTCACTTTTACAAATTATATCACAATCTTTAGTTTGTTGCAAACAATCTGAAAACAGTTATAGAAAAGCTTATATGGTCGAACAACAACCTGAAGACTGTGATATAGTTTGCACGGGATATGCAAATCGGTGCACTAATTTGCAACAAACTGAAGATTGTGATATGATTTACAAAAAAAAAAAAAAATCGTGATTAAATTGCAACTTCGATAACGGTCATGATATCAAGGGCAATTTTGCCTATTAGAATTCAACAAACCATGCTCATTAATTCTTCGAGTGCTTCGTTCAATCTACTACAATCTCTCCATTCTTCTTTGCCTCTATTCTTCTGAAAGATAACAAGAAAAACCATGCCATATATGAATATATTTTCAAGATATATTGATTTTACTTTTAACATCATCAAACATTTACGTGTGTGTATCATTTTACCTGTCTTTTTCGCCAGAACTCTCTCCTTTCCCAACCCATTATCATGCAAGTGCCTTCGATGCTATTCCTTAAGTTCGACAACTGCGTCTGAAGAGGGATGAAGCAACAAACTCTGGCTATCGTATCTACAACTTCTGAAACGAGACCCTCAATGGGGCAGCTGCTCTAGGCACTAAACACAAACATATACATAATTAGATTAAATTTAAGAGATATATGATCAATTCATAAAGTTAAAATACTATTCACCTCAATTTGTCGTTCTAAGTGGTATTTGGAGATAGAAGGATCCACCTCTTCTCCTTTTTCTGCAGCAAGTTTCTTTAGTGCTTCGTACTCATCTTCAATTACCAAAATCTGATCGAGTAAAGCGTGTGCTTCAACTCGGCCTCTAGTAGGCCTATAATAGCACTTCTATTTAACGGGACACAAACAAACATATTCAGAACATAACTAACTCAAAAAAAAAAAAAAATAGTTTTAAATTTTGTTCTAAAATCTCTGATTTAGTTTATCTTACCCCACGGCTACCGATATCATAGCGTATGCACCAATATGGGTCATCTAATGAAGGATCCTCCTCATCATCTATATCGACCTCATCATCAGAAATGATACCATTTTCAGCCATCACTTTTTTGATTTCATTTTGTTCGACTCGAAATTTGTTTTCTTCAAGCGTAAACGGAACTCCTAGCTTCTGAGGGGTCGACAAAGAAAAGACGAAAATATTAAACAGCAAAAAACGAAATCGTGTCAAGGGTTGGCCATTAAAAAAAAAAAAAAAAAACACTACCACCTCACACTCTTGTTTGAGAAAAATCCGAAAACGTTGAAGAGCAGTTGCTGACCAGTCACACGCTGTCAACTGATCAAAACATTGATCAACTGTATACGAGAGCAAAGATGTCATGTCCTGTTTACATAAACGAAAAGCTAGAGTCAATAAAAGGGTGATTATTGTAACCAAACAATTGAATGCTAGTTACACATTGTGTTAAGTTATTGTGTATAACATAATATTATACCATGACAGTCCCAAATAACGATTTCGTTCGCTCGGCAAATTTGTAGAGACTGGAAATCTTCGAGCTGCAATCGTTGCACGAACAAATCTTGCGAAAATCGTAGTTGGGTGGAAATATGTTGGCGGACCAGACATTAACTACTCTATGTGGCCTCCAAGAATAGTCATAGTCATCATCAACTTTCTTACAAGACATGTTCCTGTAATTGCTGAGGAAGAAAGAAGGGGAATAAAAAAAAAAAAGTTACCAGGAAAACAGAAAAGTTACCGAGTTATTTCGGAATAGAGAGTAAATATGTAGGGAGGTCTTGGAATAGAAGTATAGAACTCATAATAGGATTAGGATATAAATTAGTATTTTTATTAATTAATAATTAAGCTTAGATTACATTAAATATATCTATACTATTTACAATAAATATGTGATTGATCTCTTCCCTATTTTTTTTTTTTTTTTTTTTTT